TACACTGTGCAGGAGCAGTACAACTCAATGATCCCACAACACCTCTCCATGAGGCATCTGAAGTATAGATGAACTAAAACAAGCCAGTTCTTTGTGAATCCAAGGGCATGGTGTGAAAATGTACACCAAAAAAACCCAATCTGTAGCCCCTGAATGAAAATAAATGTTATTATTGCATTATATCTGGTAGTTTCATGTTATTAAAATAATAGTAGTATCATGTAATCCTGTCAGTCAGGTTAACTTCATGTGTGTGTTTTGTGGTGTTCAGGATAAGGAGATCAGCAGCAGTTTGGCAGTCGTGGAGCTGATCGACGCCATCCAGCCCGGCAGCATCAACTACGATCTATTAAAAACCGGCAGCCTCTCTGAGGACGACAAACTCGAGAACGCCAAGTAAGATATTCGACGACAAAAAGAACAAGAATTTAGCTTTGACTTTTGTGTCGGGAGCTTTGCAAACTGATTTTTTTTTTTTAACGTCTCTGTTATCTCCAGATACGCCGTCTCCATGGCGAGGAAGATTGGCGCCCGTGTCTACGCTCTCCCAGAAGACCTTGTGGAGGTCAAGCCCAAAATGGTGATGACAGTGTTTGCCTGCTTGATGGGTCGGGGGATGAAGCGTGCCTAAGAGACTGGCTGGGATCATTGTGACACTTGCCTAAACTCAAAAGCTATTTCGAAGAGCTCCCCCAACTGAAGGAATGACAGGGTTTTTTTTACTGAAAACATGAAGTCAAAATCAGAAATCCGCCTGGAACCCTGCCTCTTATTGAGGTGTTTACTGAAGAATATTTTCCTCTTATTTAAAGTGAATCCAAAATACTAAAATGTCTTAAAATAGATGGGTGTCTTGTTACAGAGGACAACTTGTTACTTCTAACATTCAGAACTCTTGTGTAAGGAATGCTGTTTTTTAAAAGCGAGTATTCATATTTCCAGCTGCAAGGTTGTTTACATATTTGTACTCAGACGGATAGGTAAATTATATCCCTGATCAAGCAACACACATTCCTTTTGAACCATACTTACAAAATAAAGATGTTTAGGTGGAGCACTCATGGAAAAAACACCCAAACATTGCCTCTCTCTTAACGAAGCATGTCTTAATAACTGGCACCATACACTACATATCTGTATGCAGAAGCCATACGGTCAGAGTATAGTCCTGACTAGCCTGGCGCGCTGTCTGTATTCTTGTACTCGTCATTTGTTTGTTTCTTGGGATTATTACTCGAAGTAAATGCTGTTTTTTTGGGGGGGCGTCTGGTCGGTGTTGTGTTAGACTCTTTGATTTGCGTTGTCCTCGGTCTGTTACGTTGGATGAGGAGCAGGCGTCTGGACTCTCCTGGCTTCTGCTGTGCCTTCTTCCCGTCTCAAAGACGATTTGTACTCTTTCGCTTTCAGGTTTTCCCCTTTCTTTTGTACTCAACATTACCAAATATAAAGAGTAACTTCATTCCAGGTAGTTTCATCATATTCTATGACGATGGCCATATTGTATTTGGTCTCACGTTAATGTCTACTCTTAAAGTGCTTTATATGTAACAATAAATATGAATCTGAATACTGCTCATGTGTTTCTTTATCTTTATGATTTCACACTTATTGACAAAAAAATAATACTTTTTTTAACCCATGTCTCATCAAACTAGTTACAATATTTACAACCCAAATCTTAATTCCCAGAAAGAAAGATTATATACACATCAATCATAAGCACCCACAAATAGTATATGGTAGTAATTACAAAAACAGTAAAATGTCAAATGAGTGTATGAGGCTGTTAAATTAAGCAAATCTCTCAAAACCTGTAATATCTTCAGAAATGTAAAACACATTTTCCACATGCTGTTCATTCCTAAATGAGAAAGCATATAAAGAAAGTTTGTATTTATATAGATATGATCCCTTTGAGATATTTGTTTATCTTTTAGCCATTTACCAATCCTTGTTCTATTTACATTTTTCATGATAGTTTTATCAGTTATACCTGTAACATTGAATTTACTTGAGATTTAAAAAACATTTCCTAAACAATCTCACCATGCGGTCTGTGTCAGCTGTTACCTAGCAACTGTTATTTCTAAGGCAAGTATTACTTTTAATCTTAATGTGTATCCCAACGTGCTCAGAAAATATAATCTGCTACGACAACTCCATCTGCTGTGATCTGTGTAAAGACGCATGCTATCTGACACAACAGACACAAACTTGTTTTACATCCCCTTTAGGATCCAGCTTTAACCTCATTTTACTGCTGCCTGCTTCTCCTTTTTCTTATCTTATCTCTCTTTGTACTGCCCTCATACTTTTATAATCTTCCCTCTTTTCATCATAAAACACATGTTTAAAAATACTACCTCGTAAAAATATATAGATGTATTGTTTGTTTCCCCTCCCTGCTACTAGGCCCTAAGAGGGAATGCCCCCAAATGCTTTATAATGTTCTGTAAAGTTGTTTCTGTGTGCTCTCGTCTCTTGGTAACAGGCAGGATTGTCTTTACAGTCTATCAACAGTGTGTCGGTGCGACAGGGGACGGAGGTGGCAGATTGTAGTTCTCTGTTCACTGGGCTGAATCTCAGTCCCATGTAAAGTCCTCTGGGCTTCGCTCCCTGATGGCTTCCTCAGCTAGACTTCAGTTTTCTACGGATTGGATTAAAACTGCGACTGCCAGGCTCTGTGAGAGAGACGGTGATGAGGAGGCCGTCTCCTGTGGCCCTCATCCTCTCAAAGCTCCAGTTTCTTCTGATAGACAGTCTGCATGCAGTGTGTTGAAAAAATTGTTTCAACAAAACTTTTTTCTAATTGTATTTTATTAACAACAAAAAAATGAAATGGAGGAAAAAGTCAGAAAAGACAGTGGCAGGCCAAGTTCCATATTAAACTTGGAATAATAAATAAACCAATGATGACAATATTCCTGATAAAGACAAAACTACACACCAAACTGCGCAAAAATATTAAGCCAAATGTGTCGCAATTTAGCCCTATTTGCAATACCTATTTAAAAAAAACGTGTATTAACATCCAGAAATAATGATTCAGGTCCTTTAAAGTATTCATTAAAAGTAAAATGATTTCTAAAAGTACTGAAGTATCTGAAAGTGTAATGAAACTAGTACTTATTTTGCAGATGATATATGACATTATTAGATAAAAATACTGATGCCTCAATGTGTCACTCATCAATCATCTATTACTTCGGTGACAACTGGTTCAAAATGTAACAATACTTGGTGTTTTATCTAAGAAGTATATAAAAAAGTGGAGTAAAAGTTTCAGTGTAACATGTATCGTAGAAGTATAAAGTAGCACCATTTGGAAAATCAAGTCTGAAAACTGATATTAAGCACAAGTTTAAGTATTACTTTAGTTATTTTCCTCCACTGCAAGCTAATATTTAACCAAAGTAAATATAATATGATACACATAATTATCAAATATGTCAATGCAGAATAATGTCAAGTAAAAAGATTAGGTATTACCTCAGACATTTTTTACTTCAACCATTTTAAAGAGAGCTGAAGACCAAATGGGACAAAAGAGATGTTGAATGCTCTGCTTCTCCTCAGTCTGAAGCTAGATTGTGTCTCCGCCCTGCAGCATCTCCCATTCTGCATGTGGATAGGCGGACTACAGTTTGAGAGGGGAGAGCACCTTGAGAGGAGGCTCAGAGAAAGTGTTGCCAGCACAGGACTTGTGGTTGTTTTTGAACTAGTCTTGCAGTTTGATGGTTGGCGCTGAGGATGGAGCGGCCGTTAGAGAGCGGCTCTGGGTGTCTCTGTGTGAAGTCACCGTGAGGATCTTTTTGGAGTAACTGAAGGAAACTAAAGGTAAGAATAAACCATGTTTGAACTGATTTACATTACCAGGATTTTTATATTTTTTCCCCCTGGCATTTGTAGGGCAATGAGGTTAATTTAATAGAGATAGAGAAAATAAAAAAGGTTGTTGAAATGTGCAGCACAGTGTATTACCAGTACAAAAAATAGAAGCTTTAATTAAGTAAAAATATATAACAAAATATTTGTATGGAATTATAGGGAAGCTTTTTGTCACCATGTTAATGAAGATCATTATTTGTATTACAGGTTAAGCTTTTTCACAGATCTTTCCTGTAATTTATTAATAAGGAAAAATAGGTAATTGCATGACCAAAATGCACGTAAGTGCAAGTAAACATTTATAATTTTTTCATTTGTTTTTGGAAAGTATATTTTCAATAATAATTGCCCATGCTAGTTGCATTAGCAATACATTGGAATAATCCCATAATTACAAAGTTTCACTGTTGCCTCTCAGAAACTTTCCATAAAATATATGCAGAATTATTCAAAAATGATAGAACCATAAAATAAAGCCTAACAGGAAAAAACACTAATGATAATGGGTCTCTTTGCAGTTAAATTACCACTTGTTACAGCCCTCTCAGTGACTGCAGCAGTAATGACACATACATCAAACTCTTTGTCCTCAGTGAACACTCTGGTTTCCTAAGCGATGCTGCTCCTGAGGGAGATAAGCTGATTGGCTGGCTGAGCCCAGAGGCTTCAGGCCGACTGTGTGTGTGTTTTCGTTAATGATCCGCCAATTAGCCACACAATGGTAACAGTTGTCTAATCACCTCTTCATGTGTCAGAGGGTTGAAAAGCGTTACTGCTCACGTTCTGGTGGGGGGGACGCTCCGAGGAAATGGCATTGGGTTCATCAAAAACATGCATTCTTAGTCATGCAGTTTCTCTTATAGCTGCTTCAATCACCACAGCAACCATGTGAGGGAGGGTGGCAGACAGTCCCAGACGTCCCCCGGTCCCCTGACTGTAATCTGTCACACGCACCATAAACACCCCCACAGACACCTTAAAGAACTCTTCTGCTGCCAAGTGTCTCTGTGAGGAAAGTCAAGTGAACCTATGCTGAACACTGCCATGCACACAGAGTCCATGACCACAAAGGAGGCAGTAACATTAGTTTGTCCACGCCTGCAGGCCTGAAGATGACGGGCCACACAGCGGAGAGAGACCTGTCCCCACACAATCTGTCAGTGAAGACCACCTTGGAGGAGGAGATCGGGAGAGCCGAGAGCATTCTGAGCAGGTGAGAACTGTTTTAAATCATGTGTTTTAAAGTCTTTGTATCAGAGGTTGGTTTGACAGCAGCAAAGCATGTGAGGTGCAAAAAAATGGAGTCCACATGTGTGTTTTTACTCCCAGGGTGCCGTCTGTGTGTGATGACACATCCTCAGAGCTACAAAGAGTCGCCGCTCTCGATCCTCATGGACGCAATTCCATAAATTCATTTCAAAGGAATGGAGCCATGTCAAGGTAAAGCCTCCTTCACAAAGCTTTCAGACACTCACTGATCAATGGTGACACATTGTTGTGCAGCTCTCTTTATATTCTTTCTTGTTGAATAATGTTGTAGCAAAGGTTGGCTCGCTTCTTAAAACAGTCCATGGCTAAAGAAAACATGATGTACCAACTGGATTCAGGCTCTCACAGATTCTGGTGACTTTGTGTTCTATTAAAACCAAAGAAATAGGCCTATATGTTATTGTGTAAAACTAGTTATTGGTTTACTTTATATTCTAGAATCTTTCGAAAAATTTGAATTTGATTAAACTAAAACGATCAGTTGGGATTCAAGAGAATTCAAGACTGTTCTTACCCATTAAAATGTTATTTTAAGACTAATTCTGGGACTAAACCATTTGTACAAATTATAATATTTCACAGTAAAAGCCATAAATGAATCCAAAAAAAAGTTTCTAGATAAGACAAGATAAAGTTGTTCTTCTTTAAAGATGCTTTTTATCAAACAATTACATGTGTTTGATAAGAAAGATTAATTGTGATTCCTGTCCTTTAATCGTCTAATCAAATGAGACTGTATTCATGCTCAACTGTATTGATTTGGCTCCTTGTGTGACTGGAAAGTTCTGTAGGATGTGATGAGAGTCTGTGTGTTTCCTGTGTCAGGCTGGTGAGCCTGGTGGTGAGGCTGAGGGAATGGGCCCACAGGGGCATGCTGGAGGAGGAGCGTCCAGACTCCTTCCTGGAGCGCTTTCGTGGCCCTGAGCTGAGAATGCCCCCCAGTCGCATCAGCAACACACAACCAGACGCTAATGGCAACAATCCCAAAGGGATCTTTAGGTATGCCACACTAAACCGAACACGAGAAACACGCACACCAGTACACTTCTGTTATTTCCTTTGTAAAACAACAACAATTTAACAATAAACGTTGTTAATACCAGACACGTCTCTTCCCAAAATAAAAAATACTCAATTTATTTTTAACACGTATTAAATATATCCATCTTGATTGTTTTGGTTCTCTGCAATATAATGAAACTTTACGGCACTCGCGTTGTGATGCTCAGAATTGTTCCTAAAAAGTATCCACCCTCTTTAAATAAAGGTTTTTCTATAATAAAAAAGGGCAGTTCTGCTCTCAGTGATGTTGATTCATCTCTGTGATTTTTCACATTGTTCTGTATGTTATTACATGATTCTGTATTTCAATATAATGCAGTACAATACAACACCAAGTCTCTTTTAAAATAGTAACGGTATTTATTGCATTGCATTGCTTTATATCTGGCACCTGCTTCTATTCTAACTCTATAGAGATATACATGAGCCATGGTTGTGCCTGACTTTATAATGTGCAATCTCTCCTTGTTTTCAGGAAAAAGTGGAATTTGTTTGTGGTGTCCCCATCCGATAACGCCTACTACCGGTGGTTATCTGTTATCGCCGTAGCGGTGCTCTACAATTGGTTCATCGTTGTGGCGAGGTAATGACGCCACAATGGTTATCTGTGAGGGTAAAGAGATGATGGATGTAGTGTATGAGTGTTAATGTCCACTTCTTTGGCTGGGGAAGTAAATATTTTATATTTGTATATTCACAGGGCATGCTTTGAGAAGTTACAGGTGGGCAACTACATCTGCTGGCTGGTGTTGGACTACCTCTCTGACTTTGTGTACATCATGGACACATGCGTCCGACTTCGCACAGGTAATGTATTTCAATATACAGCTTCTGGCATCATGACACAATGTAATTCAACAGAGGTGCTCTACTTTAAAGAACCCATGGGAATATGTTTGTTTGACTATTTAATGTCATATGTTTTAGTTTCTGGAAAAAATGACAATCCTGGTAGAGATGTAAATGGTTGTCACGTTCAGCACATTAGCCAATGGATTAAACAAAAACAAGTTATCATAACACATTTAAAGTGTTTCTTAAAACCTTTGCATATCCAGCAGACAAAGAACAACATAGCATTGCTTGGGTTTCTGGTCAACTAGTCTAATACTTACACACCTTTTAGCTTTGTTTTGATCTACACACCAACTCCTGAGGGAGTATCTGTCTCTTTCGCTGCTAAATGCTTCACTATGTTCACCAGCTAGTAGCTAACTGTGTTTGTCATGTCTGCCATTTGTTAATAAGCAGGAAGTGTACAGTTCATGAGATGTTGCTGAAACAAGAAGGCAGAAGCTGTCACTGACAGGCAGAAAAAGCAAAACAATGAGCTAAAAGATGCTAAAAGGCAGGTATAAAACATACCTGCAAGCTAAGATTGCTGCACAGCTGAATTTGTGCTTTATTATCTTGGTCTCAGGGTTCCTGGAACAAGGTTTGCTGGTGAAGGATCCCGCTAAGCTTCGAGACAGCTACGTCAGGACTTTACAGTTCAAACTTGACGTAGTGTCCATCCTGCCCACTGACCTGGCGTACATCTCCACCGGCATCCACACGCCACAGCTCAGGTTCAACCGCCTGCTTCGCTTCCCACGCATGTTTGAATTCTTTGACCGCACTGAGACACGCACCAACTACCCCAACATGTTCCGTATCGGCAACCTGGTACTTTACATCCTGGTCATCATCCACTGGAACGCCTGCATCTACTACGCTATATCCAACTCTTTGGGATTTGGATCGGACACTTGGGTGTTTCCAAACATTTCCAAACCTGAGTATGCCTCCTTGACTCGGAGTTATGTCTACTGCCTGTACTGGTCAACTCTCACTCTTACCACCATTGGAGAAATGCCTGCTCCTGTGCGGGACGAGGAGTACCTGTTTGTGGTTTTTGACTTTCTCGTTGGGGTGCTGATCTTTGCCACAATTGTGGGAAATGTTGGCTCCATGATTTCCAACATGAATGCCACACGTGCCGAGTTTCAAGCTCGGATCGACGCCATCAAACACTACATGCACTTCCGCAGAGTCAGTAAAGAACTGGAGACACGCGTCATTAAGTGGTTCGACTACCTCTGGACCAACCAGAAAGCAGTAGACGAGCAGGAGGTGCTGAAGAATTTGCCAAACAAACTGCGTGCTGAGATAGCGATTAATGTACACCTGGAGACACTAAAGAAAGTCCGCATTTTTCAAGACTGTGAGGCAGGCTTGCTGGTGGAGCTTGTGCTAAAGCTACGCCCTCAGGTCTTTAGTCCAGGGGACTACATCTGCAGAAAAGGGGACATCGGGAAAGAGATGTATATCATAAAAGAGGGGAAGCTGGCTGTGGTGGGAGATGACGGGGTCACACAGTATGCTCTCCTCACCGCTGGCAGCTGCTTCGGGGAAATCAGCATTCTGAACATAAAAGGTAGTAAGATGGGAAATCGTCGGACAGCCAACATTCGCAGCTTGGGTTACTCGGATCTCTTCTGCCTCTCTAAGGACGATTTGATGGAGGCAGTGACCGAGTATCCAGATGCTAAGACTGTGCTGGAGGACAGGGGCCGGGAGATCCTGCTGAAGGAGGGTCTGCTGGATGAGACAGAGGAGGGCGGCGGGCTGCAGAAGGAGGACACAGAGGAGAAGGTGGAGAGGCTGGAGTCCTCTCTGGACACGCTTCAGACTCGCTTTGCCCGTCTGCTCAGCGAGTACAAACACACTCAGCAGCGGATGAAGCAGCGCATCACCCTGCTGGAGCGCCAGCTGAATCAGACAGACTGCGGCGCAGATGCGAGCGATGACATGTGTGCAGAGACAGAGCCTGGTGCCCACACAGAGGGGTCTCCGCATCGGAGCACTGTGCAAACGGAGGACCAAAAGAGCCCAACAAAACACTGAACACAGAAATAAGGATATTTTAGTTTGTTACTTACATTGTGAGAATGGTTTATTGGTTAGCTGTGTGTAAAGGGATGTCTGCATGTCAATAAACATACAAAGAAAGTGTATAACGCTGCTATGCCCATGCAGTTCTTGAGTTCTTGTCTATGCCAAAACCAGTGGGTTTAATGTCCTGTATTTGAACTGAAGTTTTAAGGTTACTTTACCAAACAAGCTAAATTAAGGTATAAAAAACACATTACTGCTTAAAAAAAAGAATCTAGAGCACACACAAAAGATTGTGAATAATGTTTAAATCTTTCACTCTTTATATTTCAGACTAAAAGCACTGTATATTTGCAGGTTGTTGTAGTTTTGGGTCCCTTGTAAACACCTTGTGTTTGGTTGCATCAGCAGAGGGACTCAGTTCTCTCGACATGTTAACATTACGGCCCTGTGCACCTAGTCTCTTGCTGCTCCTCCTGGGGAAAAAGTCCAAGGAGAGATGTTAGGAGGTGATTTGCTCAGTTCACATACACAAACAAATTATTTTCCAGTGTCCTAATGTTCTGTGTCAGATCTAAATCATGATTATCATAACAACCTTTCTTCTGTTGTGAGACATTTAAAGGTGGTTATTTTGGCCCTGGGGAGGTGACTCACTTGCAATGTGCAGCTTTTTTTTCAATTGTTTATTTTTATTTGCTATAAAATTTACTTTTCCACTCTCATCTTAAATTGAGTAAGACATTTTGTCTTTGTGTTTAGTTGCTTCTTTTATGCACTCACTCTGGATCGAGGGGCGGGGGATTTTCCATTTATTCAGTCCTCTGCATTCCAGGATACAACTCGACCACATGAACAGTGTCGATAAGCGCAGCTGGAACAATGCCTCTGCAGCAGAGCAGGCTCAAATAAAGGATCAGGAGGTAATGGGTGCATATCCCCTGAAGCCCCTGAAGGGGTGGGTGGAATCAAGTAACACGGACAAATCTCCTGTAACATAACGTAGGATTGTCAAACAGCATGAAGCATAAAGTATTTCTATTGATGTTTGATATAACAAGTACAGCTCAGATGTGGGAAGTAACTAAGTACATTTACTCAAGTACTGAACTTAGAGACAATTTTGAGATACTTGTGCTTTACTTGAGTATTTCCATGTAATGCTACTCCACAACAATTCAGAGGTTAATAATGTACTTTTATTCAACTTCCTTTTGTACCTTTAGTTACTTTAAAAATGTTGATTTATAATTTGAAATATAATCAACAGTTAAATAAGATTGTACTTTGTATAAGATTGTATTTATAATTTGAAATATAATCAACAGTTAAATAAGATTGTAGTTAAACCTGGTGTAACATTCACAATCTACCCTGTGGTATACAAAGTAATTAAAATAGCTGCACATTTATCAGCTTTGATAAACACATTAATGCATCCATAATTATAATCAACATATAATATTTTTTTTTTCTTCAATGGGCCAATCTGCATAAAGAGTACCTTTATTTTAAGTATAATTTGATGCCAATACTTTTGTACTTCTACTTGAGTAATATGTTGAATGCAGGACTTTTACTTGTAACAGAATATTCCTACACTGGTACTTCTACTTTTACTCAAGTACACGATCTGAGTACCTACATCTGCATGTAGGAACTATTGTCTTTCTGCTGAACTGCATCTACATCTACTAATGGGAGAGAGGCGTGCCCATTTCCTTCTGCATTGTGATGAGAAAATAGTTGAAAGACTAAAACAAAATACTCTCCTCAGCAGAGCATGTGCAATTTACCACCGCTTACCTACCGGCTGAAAAGATTCACCCTCTGGGCCTTAAAGTGGCGATATCAGAGCTTCTGCTTGCAACCTTATTTCTCCATTTCGGAGTCGGTGGATGCGCATAATTTACGTAATTAATCATATGTTTTCGATGATGAGGAGTAGAAATATGAATCAGATATCCGCGGAATCGCTGGAAGAGTAGCTTTCCAGCGGTATCTCCTGTGAGACTGTAACCAGGGCACAGCAGCCAATATGGCCGCTCAAAGCAGCTTGACTTTACACCGTGTGGGATTGGTGGATTCGTGGGTCCGTCAAGGAAATCTCGGCCGGCAGCTATCATGGTCTGAAATGACCAATGGACATCGAGAAATCACTAAGGACCTACCCACCAAGTAAAAAAAAAACATAAACCACGTGTCTTCCATCAGTTTACGTCTGTGAGGAGAGAGACAGAGAAAATGGCTAAAACAAACTTTACAGTTGCCGACTTTGCTAGAGATTCTTTTCGCTAGCAGCAGTAAAGATAGAGCCTCAGAACCTGAAGTCTTCGACTCTTCTGAAGAAGAAGAATACAAAGACAAAAACAAGGATCCATTTGGACATGGGTAAGTGTAAATATTACAGTAATAGTGTACTGGCAATGTGTGGGGAATAACGCGAAAATGAACAATAGGTTTATATATATTTTTTATCGATAGTCATGAACTTTTTCTCGGGACAAAATAGACTCTCCATTAGCATACGTTTACTCTGTTAACGTTATTTTGGTGTGTAAAAGTGAGATTACATGTGTAGTAGGCTTGGGCGGTATGACGGTATTACGGTATACCAGGATATTTCTAAATCCCGTCGGTATGATTTTCAATACCGTGACGTCACAGACTGTGCGCCAAATCACAGAAGCGTTTCATTCTATTACACCGACACGGAGTTTTGACAGGGACGACATTGGTTGTAATGCACAGCACGCGCCAGCAGAGGGCAGGGGAGGGCAGTCAGTCTTTCCCGCTCTCAGAGCTCAGCACAGAGCTGAGCTGAGCAAGATGGCGGCAGCATTTGCCGGCACACAAAACCGCGCGCCATCCTTGCCAATGCTGGGCTTTGGCCGCTCTTTACTTGTATCCGCGCATTCAATAATATAAATTAAAAAATTCTAGCTATCAGTTACTTTGGGGGGGAAAAAAGAGGCCCCTGTTTATTCCTTGAGAGGAGGGTAATCGTATGGCAAAATGGAGACAATTTGGCAAATTTAAACCAACACCCATTTTCCACCTCTTTCAAATGTTACACAATCATTTTCGGGGGGGAAACCCGGCCAACTAACTGGCATAATGGCCCATATGGGTCCTTATAAAGGGATTTTAGGGGTGTGTCAGCCAAATAAGGAAAACGATATAGTATTTGCACTTTGGGGCCAGGTGTTTACTGGGACAATGCACACGGGCGGGGTTTTAGTGGTCTCGGGCCCAAAGTTAAGGATAGGGACGGCTGGTGCCTCGAAACTGTCGCTGTGGGTAAACCCAAAAAAAACCCATACCGTTGCGTTAGCGGCACGTGCGAAAAGGTAGGTAAAAACCGATAGACAAAACATGAAACAACTAAATTCGTTGTTTCGTTGTCGCTATACCTAACCAACTGAGCACTGAACCGACGCCATTTCAACGAGAAACTCGCTACAAAGTAAAAGGGTCGTCAATAACCCACTACTTGAAACTCCACACTTACCTCCACACTGCACAATGAGAGAAAACGACGTTGAAAGAATACCGTTTATATGTGTGTCGAAGCAGACCCAAGCTGACCGAGTGGAAAAAGTAACCTCATTTCGGGTTTTATCAGGGTTTGTCCGTCCGTCTCCCGTAAACAGGAAAATGATCAAGATG